ATTCGTTATTATGGTCATAAAACAGGAGTGAAACTGGAAATAAAAATTATAATAACATCTCTACATTACCGAGCTATCTTACTGTTAGAGGAGCTCAAATAACAGTGTTTCAGCCAGAAAATTTTACTTGAGGGCCAAAGTGGCCCCTGAAGATCTTTTTTAGGGGCCCATTTTTAGAGAGAGTTTTTGTTCATAAAGAAATAATGAGCACTAATCATTAGGTACATTTTACCACTTTTGGTCACGTGCTAAGTAACGAGTTAAATAATAAACAACAGAGTCAGTGTTCTAGTGATTTCAATTATTTGCATAAGGAAACAAACGCAAGAATAGATCTTGGATAGGCCAAAAGGAAAGTATAATCTAGTAGCATGCTAAAGATGAATGGTCAGCATGTTCTGTATGAATGTTCCAGGTATTATTTTATGTAAACAAAGCCATCTTTGAGTAGTCTGGGTGGTTATTGTCAATTTTTTTAAATCGATAACAATCGATATTCCTGAAGACAGGAATTATTGATCGCCAATATCAATCAATGGCAATCAGCGATTGACATTGATATCGATTGAATTGATTGATTTCCGATATCGATTTTTATCGATTGACTATGCTTGGCGATCTTGAATGCATGACAAACAGCAAGCGAACAATTTTTAGCCTTTTGAACAGATACCTATTGGTTGGTGTACTTTTTCACGTGAAAGATCATAATTGTATTTTTACAAAGAGATAAAATTTAAGATTTACATTTGAGGATTTGATTGTTTATTTAAGAATGAATAACATGACCGCGTCAACATGACGTGACTGGCCAACATGACTGGCGAGTGAAGTTTTTGGCAGGTCAAGTCTGACACCATTCTGGCCAGACATTGTCCGTTGACCGGCCGTTATTTTGAGCCCTGAAACTTCACCACAAAGTTACATGTGCAAAACTCAAATCAAAATTCTTGCTTTTCCTGGGTTAGCTTAATTGGGCTTTTAACAACCTGGTCCAGAGCTCCAATTTTAGGCTTGGCAAAATCTCTATATTACCAGAGAAGCAAAGCTTTGAGGGCAAAATTAATATGCTAGTTTTGAGAACATCAAACATCCAAGGGGCAGCCATCAGACCGATAGTTCCAAGACATCAGCACTCTATTGTCTCTATAAATTTGAAGTAAAATTGTAAAAACTAACTGTTACAGCTATGTATGATCTATTAAACTAATAAATATATGCAAAATTGAGTCACTAACTTGTCAATAATGTTATTTTAAAAATTCTGTTAATTTGCATTTCATGCATCATCGCAGTTTCATAATATATTTTGTATTGCTTTTTGAGACTCTGGAATTATCCCCAACTAATTGAATAGTCTTTAATTGTGTTTGTGTTGATAACATTGAATACTTGATTTGTTGCTGTCCCTAATACATGTAAAGTGTTTTCAATCCTTCAGTGTTTTCTTCATCAGTAGAAAGCTACCACTGATGTCCATACTTATTATAGCAGTCCTGAAATGCACACTATACTTTTCATTATCAGCATTAAAAAACACAATTTTGAAGTGCTTGTCTCTATAATAATATTACTCAGTACTCAGTTTTGAAGAGGTAACTTTTAATGTCTAGTTTCAGAAAATATTTGGGTGTTCTCCATCATGCCAAAGATTCTGGAAATTTCGATCGGCATTCAAATGGAAAGGTCCGTTTCGGTTTCTTCTGATCATAATATTCGGGATCACCTCTAGAGGTGGTCCACTTCTTTCAGTCGGAATATTCCGACCAAAATTCGCCGTTCCATTTTTGACAAACCGGTTCTTTGCCCTAATTAGGGAATTCAAAAAGGAATAAAAAATGGCAAGAGCTATTCCTATTGGTTGGTCCAGTTTAATTGGAAAATGTCGTTCCATTTTCCTCAAGTATTCCCACTGATCTCTGACCAGTCGGTTTGGCATAATGGAAAGCACCCAATGTCTATACTGTCCCAGCTCTCCCCTCCCTGGGAATCACTGGAAATTTTGGGGGAGAGGAGGTTCCAGAGTCACAATTTCCAAAGGAGACAGGGTTTCATGCAGAGCTTGGTTTCTGGAAAGTTTCCTTAGTTTTTAAACAATTTTTGCAAGATGTTCATGCACTACATTGTCAGAACACATTTACATGTGAAATGTTACAGGCCCTCATTAAACTGGTAAAGTCACCAGTTGTTTGTAACAAATTTATGTGACTGTATTTAGCAATGCTATTTATAATAAGTACATGTACATGTAGTACTTCCTATGCTTTTATGATATGTGTAAATCATAGTTGTAACACAAGGTATTCAATGATGAGTCTTGTTTAATTGTTCTCCTCCTATTGGTCTTCTGTTTTTTAAAGGTTCAGTCAGTGAGTCAGTTCAAGTAGTAATGTCTGGTTTCAGTTTGTCAAAGCGTGTTTGTAGCAAGACTTGGTGAGTTTTTATTTTAGCTATTCAAGATTCTTATAATTAAAAAATGTCCACTTTAATGGAGTAGTCAAAAGGTTAGAATTATTTTAAAATTTGTTTCAAGGGTAACATGCATGTACGTTGTAATCATTGTCTAACAGTGCGTGGAAAATAATGAGAACCAATTAGATTTCCAGATTTGCAATAAACCAAGGTTGAGTGACTGCTAAATGTACAGTTAAAATTTCATTTCCTGCTTTCACAGTTATGAAATTAACTTCAATTATTTCTGTTTTTCTTTTTAGCATCAATTTTTAAAATTAAAGGCATCCTGTAATGTCGAGGTTATCAAAGGTAATTTTAATATAATGTTAAATTATGTAATACTTTTTCTGTGTTCTGAATTTTACTGTATTCTACTTGTTGTGCAGACTTTGAATCATCAAGCTGTCATAGTGTATGTTAAATACAGGCACATGACTTTATTTTAATGAAAATTAAACACAGCTGTGTGACTGATGGATCTGTTTTAGTTTGAGTTTTAAGTTGTGCAGTGAAAAATATACAAGTTTCCTTGTGAGTCACCAATACTAAAGACAATGACCTGCAGATACAGACTGTACATACATATACATGTCACATATATTGATATTGATGGCTGGTTTACTGTCAAGACCTGAAAGAAAACTTGATTAATTGTTTAAAGACCCAGTTTTGGCTAGACTTACCACAAGTCGACCTTCGCCTATTCATCTCCCTCAAGTGAAGTGAGAGGGTGTTCTTCAAGAAACAAAGTTGCAAGCATGAGCGACCTAAATCATGAGAGGTTGATGTGTTTCACTTGTAGGGATGTGAATCAGAGCGTAAATTTTTGGCGGGAAAATCATGAATGACATTTCTCACTCTTTTCTTGTGCTCTGCACAGCATTGTCCTGAAAGCAGGTCTACATGTATGTGATTCCTATGAAAACGTGAGCACTGTGTGCTAACTCATAGAAAATTATTTGTACATAGTGCATGGATGTAGTCAGCTATAATGACATATGGCGTGAGCTGTTCCATTGAGTAACACCTCCCAAAAAGACGCCACCATGTTTAGACTGTTGTAACTGATTGAGAATTACATGTATTTTTTGTGGTCCAGATTGACCAGAGAGCTGCATGACAAATGCTGTAAGCTTATGTTCATCTTGTGCTGACAAGAATTCAAATTAACTAACAAAGACAGAGTTAGTGAGGGAGATCTTTAATTCAGTAAAGCTCTTTTGATTAAATAACGTGGAGAAAAAGGGGTCACAAATTAAGGCCAGGCTTTGAACTCACTGTTGCAGCTGCGTCTTAGAATTTTTGTCTTTTATATTTAGGTGTCTGGCAGTGCAACCTTTGGCAGTGTAGCCTCTACATCACAGGAAGGCCCAGAAGAAGAAGCTCCTGCTTCAGCCTCCAACAGAACCTTGAATGTTACCATGTTAAGTAGTGAATGGAAGTCAACAAAAGGAGGCTTGTCAACTGTCAGCAGAGAACTTGCAATACAGTGTGCTAAACACCCTAATGTGGAAGTTAGTGTTTATATCCCAAAATGTAGTGAAGAAGACAAAAAGATTGCAGCTAGTCACAATGTTCAGCTCATGGAGGCACAGGAACTGCCAGGGTATGAGGCAGTTGATTGGTTGGCTTCTGTTCCAGAGAACCATGCCATGGACTGTATTATAGGACACGGGGTACCTCTTGGTCGACAAATACCACTTATAAAACGGCATAATCGTCATTGTAAGTGGATTCAGATTGTCCACACTGCTCCTGAAGAACTTGGAATGTACAAAACTTATGCAGATGCCATTGCCAAAGGTGAGAAGAAGCATCAAACAGAGGTAAGACTCTGTGAGATGGCTGATCAGGTTGTAGCAGTTGGACCCAAGCTGGCAGATGCTTATTCCCGGTCTCTTCGTCCTAGTCAAAAAGATCAAAAAGTTCTCACTCTCACACCAGGAATTTTCACTGAATTTTCTGAAGTAAAGCAAACCACAGAAGAAGGAAACAAATTTGTTGTGTTAGTGTTTGGGCGTGGCGATAGTGAAGATTTTGAGCTCAAGGGATATGACATTGCTGCTA